ATTATGGTTGTACAGCCTTGAGAGCTTTTAGGGAATGTCCCCCAAGGTCAGGGTCTATACACTTCCAGTGAGTGTCCACGGCCAGAGAAGGAGCCCTGGTCACTCCGAGTCCAGCTTGTGAGAGGGAAGCTTCTGCGCACTAGTGAGGAGCACCGCACCCGCGCGGGCTCTGCCCCGTGCTGCCGGACGCACCGCACCCGCTCAGGCTCTGCCCCGAGCTGCTGGTCACCGCACCCGCGCGGGCTCTGACCATGTTGCTGGACGCACCGCACCCGCGCGGGCTCTGCCCCGTGCTGCTGGTCACCACACCCGCGCGGGCTCTGACAGTGTTGCTGGACGCACCACACCCGCGCGGGCTCTGACCCTGTTGCTGGACGCACCGCACCCGCGCGGGCTCTGCCCCGTGTCGCCGGACGCACCGCACCCGCGCGCGCTCTGCCCCTGTTGCTGGACGCACCGCACCCGCGCGGGCTCTGCCCCGTGTCGCCGGACGCACCGCACCCGCGCGGGCTCTGACCCTGTTGCCGGACGCACCGCACCCGCGCGGGCTCTGCCCCGTGTCGCCGGACGCACCGCACCCGCGCGGGCTCTGCCCCGTGTTGCCGGACTCACGGCACCCGCGCGGGCTCTGCCCCGTGTAGCTGGTCACGGCAGTGGAGGAAAGCGAGGGGCGTGGGCGTTAGCTTCGGAAGGTGACGCTTGCTTCGTTCCCAACGTAGCACGATACTGACAAGCAGCATTTCACTCTCTCATTTCATTATTCCTGCAATGTCGTGCCGGGAAAGGCTGGCGCATTTCCCCGGAAGGGCGACAATGCGCGGCTCCTCGGACCTCCCCGCCCTCAGCGCCCCCAGCGCCCCCACCAGTCCACCGCCCCATCATCCCACCGCCCCACCGCCACCCGCCAAGCCGACCGCCCCACCAACCACCGCCCCACCGGCCCCACCGACCCACCGCCCACCGCCACCGCCCCACGCCCACGCCCACCGCCCAAGCCCCACCGCACCACACACGCCCCCACCGCCCCACCGCCAACGCCCACCGCCCACCAATCCCACGCCGCCACCGGCCACCAACACCACACCCCACCACCCAACCCCACCAACTCCACCAACCACCAGCCCACCCCACCCCACCGCCCACCGCCCCCACCGCCCCGGAGAAGACCTAAGTGCTGGCAGGGCAGGGAGGGTTTGCCATTCTGAGGAGTCAGCTTTTATTTCTTATTTACCATCATATCTGGTTCCTGTTCATGCAAAGAAGTGCTTGCATTCCCTTGTTAGATTTTGGGCAACCAGTCTTTGTGTTTCGCTCAGGCTTTGACATGAGCACACATGTGTGTATGCCGGCTTTATTACAACATGAAGAACGTTGTAAACTAAACCACGAAGTCGATCCATGTCTTCCTCTCCCGCATGGCGAGAGGGGCGTGCGAGTCCCGGGCAGGGACGAAATCCACCGCCTGCGAGGGCGGCGCGGTGAGAGGCCCAGCCCGGTCCCCGTGCGGGGCGGGCAGCTCCGGGGGATGAGGCGGACCGAGCGGAGGGCCCCGCCGGGCGGACCCGGGGGAGGCCCGCGAGCAGCAGGCCGAGTCCCCAGAACCTGCCCAGGCTTGGGAGCCCGGCCCTCGCTCCTTGCTGGCTGCCGCCTCCTCTGGCCGCGGAGGGCCGGGCTGGGAACGCAGCCGGGCGGGCGAGTGCTTGCGACGCGCGGGCCCGCGAGGGTGGGATGACGCTAGGAAGGCACTGCAGAGCCAGGCCGGTCCGTCTCCTCCTTTACAGGTGAGGAGACGCGGGGAAAGGCTAGATGCAGGGGCAAGGCTGACGAGGCCGGCTAGCACGCGCGATCCCAGTTCCCTCAGTCCCAGTCCAGAGGGCTGGCTCTACGACCCTGTGCTCTGTTGGGTAGAATTATGACAAGAGGTCTGCGACGCTGGGCTTTTTCCTTTGTAAGTACTGGTGGGCACAGCACTGATCCCTAAATTAGAACACCATTTTGTTCTGTATTTTCTATATGTGTGTATTTTGTACAATATCATATTTAACATACATGTAATTACTAAGCCCATTATTATATGTTGCATATGGATGATGTTTTAGCAGAAATCCCATCTTTCTAGAATTGAAGATATAACTTGCAAATGTGCATTAAAAATTGCTTATGTTTTTAATTAAAACGTAAACACTGTCTGGTTAAAACGATATTCTTTTGTTCTGGGAATGTGCATCAAGGGTGCTCGGAGGAGGAGGCCCGGCCAGCTGTCCCAGGAGCGGAGAGGGCTTGCTGGGAGTGTGGGGGATGGGCACTTGCATGCCTCTCCCTCCACCTACACGGGAGCTGGCTCATGTAAAGCTGGCTATACAGCAGAGTGTTCTTCAACTGGGAAATGTCTCATTGGGGGCTTGGGTGTAGACTTCTGGCATTGACGAGAAGCCCAGTGTCACATTGACCACCCCATGTCCTCCTCTGCATCCCAGGCCCACACTCCCTCCCAGTCACCCTCCTTCCTTGACACCTGCTGCTTTTGCCATTCTTTATTCCTGGAACTCTCTTCTGTTCGTCTATGATCCCTTCCTTAATAACTGGAAGAGATCACAGAAGGACTTGGGCTGGACTGAGCACAGGGTGAGAGGATATTTGATATTTACTCAGAGGTAAGGCATATGGGGAGAAAATAAGTATTGACTGGAAGTTTTCTTCCTCTTGGGTGTTGTTTCCTGGATCATGTGCCAAGGAATCTGGTACTCTAGAGATGCCAAAAGGTATTCTACCCCAAACAGATTCCATGTTCAAATCAGTTTGGAAAGCAAAAGGTTAAACACAATTACTGCAGGACTTTTCAGGGCCTTTAATATGACAGCTCTCAGATACCTTGTGAATTTTCAGGAGCAGAGAGTATAGCATACTGCAATTTTCTCAAGTATATGATACAACTTTTTTTTTCAAAGTATCATCCAGGATCAGAATTTATGAACACAATTTGGGAACAACTAATCAGTGTGGATACTTATAGGTGAACTGTAGCCTTTTAAAGTCCTATTTCCGGCAGATTAGTTTTTTTAATCCAAAGCTTCTGTAGAGGTGGGTGGGGAGGAAAATAAAGAGGAGAGAAAGGGAATAAGTGAATGTAGAAGGGAGAGGTGTAGGGGAGGGAAAGGATGAAGTGAGTGATGAAGACACTTGAAAAGGCAATTTGGAGAGAAGAGAAAGCTGCTCTTTGGAATGCCTTCACTGATGTGCAGTCGATGTGCTGTGAGAAGACGGGGCGCAGTCGGGTATGGCCCTGGTGATGACGGTCACCGCAGTCGGGCTGGTGCCCAAGAAGTGCAGGCGTCTTGGAAAATGGAAACACTGTGTATCATGAGGTTCATTCAAATACCAGACACCCTGGATGTCATTGAAATAGACCTGTTTTCAAGTCTCTTTATGTTGACATAATAATGATGCACACAAGAAGAAAATACTCAGAAAATAACCTTGTAAAAGGAAAGAGAAAGAAAAAAAGATAGTGTTAGAGAATAAGAATTTTTAGCAGAAGTGGTAGGAATGATAAACACGGGAGGCGAGATCCAGCTCTATGTCAGGTGCGGAAGTGGACACCGTCTCTCAGGATGAGCTGGCATGGCCTGGTCAATGTCAGCAGTCTCAGTAGACCGGAGAAACTTGCATCAGAAGCTGCCCTGTGCAGCAGCCACCAGAAAGGCAGACGGAACCGCCCGTTAGCCAGAACCAGTGGGCGTTGTGCCAGATACCCCGTGGCCGTCTCCTGCCCATACATAACGCCACGTATGCAGTTGCCTGTGCAGCATTGTGTGGAGTTCAGGAATAGGACATCGTCCTTGGAATATGATCTGGGAAGAGAAAGGAAGGGCTGTTTTCTGCTGGGCCTGCTATGCTCAGAAAACTGTTGGCAGAGGGAAGTCTCAGGTGTGAGGTGTGAAACAAGTCCGGGGGTGGAGCTCAGATCTGAGACAGAGGGGCAGGCCTGCCTGACAACACAGCCGGGGCGACCACAGAGGTTCGATCCAGAGCTGGTAACTCTCCGTCTTCGGGCCTGGCAATGAGGCTGGGCCTGACCTTGACAATTTGGGGGAATAAAGAACTAAAGTCTTGTGGTGGGAAGCTGGAATTTGGATTCCAACAAGCTAGTCAGACAGAAGGGGGGCACTCAGAGATCTTAGCCTTTTGTTTGTAAGGTTACAGTGATGCCACTGGGTCTTTTTCATCTAAGCCTGATTGGAGCAATGGACTCTTCTTAGAAACAGTCCCTTTGGTGTTCTCATGGAGATTTTGGGAGAATGAGGCTAGGACATATTCCTACTGGGCCCGTCTGTGACTGTCTGAATTTCATGGTAGTTCAGTTGGACTTGTCTTTTGTCTCACTGGTTGCTTGTTACTTGAGAGTAGGGGTTGTGAAATCAGAAGCAGCCTACATAACCATCATTGACTAAATTCTTACAATGTGCCAAACACTTAAAAAAGCCCCAAACACTAATGTTATCATCCCCACTTTACAGATAACAAAACTGAGTTCTAGGAGATCAGTTCAAGTCCCCAAAGCTAGTATATGCAGGAGCCAGGACTTGACCAATGGCTCTCAACCTGGGGAGTTGTAAAAAAATACTGATGCATGAACACGATCTTCAAATATTTTGATTCTATTCACCTGGGGTAGTATTTGTACCTCTGTATATTTTTTAGCTCACCCAGGTGATATTCATGTGCACCCAAGGCTGAGAATCCTGGCCCTCTATCATGCCACTGTGTCCATGTTGGTATCCCTGGCCTCTAGTACAGCACTCACCCATGATAGGGGTTAAAGAAATGTTTATTGATTAGTTTAAAGGGTGCCTGTAGCAAGAGCAAAGAGCAATGACTATATGCCACTGGAAGTTATAAAGTGTCTTCCTAGATGTTGAAATGGAATATTTGGTGGCCATCAGAATCGGAGAGCTGCTGTTCATTCTATGCTTAGAGACTTTTTAAACCTTCCACGGCAGGTGGCGTGGTCCTGAACCCAGCCTATTACGGCATGCCGGGCCACACCAACATCATGATCCACGAGGTAGGGCACGTCCTGGGACTCTACCACGTCTTCAAGGGGGTCAGTGAAAGAGAATCCTGTGATGACCCCTGCAGGGAGACGGCGCCATCCATGGAAACAGGGGACCTCTGCGCCGACACGGCCCCCACGCCCAAGAGCAAGCTGTGCGGGGACCCGGAGCCCACCAACGACACCTGCGGCTTCGCTCACTTCCCGGGGGCTCCATTCAGCAACTACATGAGCTACACAGGTATCAGCCATCTTGACGTCAGCGTTTTCGGTTAGGGGTGCATGCGGGCTTTGGGGGCTGGCAGGGTGGAGGCGTGGGGCTGGAGTGAATGATCAAGCGATCACTTCTGTCAGGAGTTGAAGTGTATTTATCACGGGATATTCTTTTTTTTTTCATGCCTTTGAAGAACACAAAGAAATACTGAAATATTAAGGGGTTTTGTTGGCGGAATTCTCCTCTACTACAGATCTAAAACAAATATACTTCTATCTTGAAAAGTAAAGAAGGGACAAAGCCAAAAGGCCTCTTCAGATCCCTTCAACTTCTAGAACGTGGTTGCTCTTACCTTGCCCACATTCTTAGGCTTTTCTCTGAAGGGGAGTCCAATAGTGATGGGGGAGGAGCTTCTGGGTCCAGGTGACTGCATTATTTTTGCAGTGCTCAGCAACGGGGTTTGATTAATTTAACCTCAGGATTCTTTTTTATTTTGTGTCATTCAAAAAAGCTCAGATTCTTTTCCTCCATTGCTAATCTGGTGCCAAGCACAGATTCTTAGCTTGCCTGGCCCTCACCTGCAGTGGAGCCACCTCATTTAAAATGGTGCCTTCCTGGTCCTAGGAACAACCGTACCGCCTGGTCTTGTCCTTCCTCAACTCAGCTTCCGTCTTATCCTTTTTCCCTGGTATACCTTCCCCCTTTCTTGCAAAAGGCAATACTAACCATTCTCCGGATAATGGACTTAAATTTTTCCCTAAAATTAAGGAGTGATTGGATTTGATGGCTTGCTCCAATGGTGAAGGACGATAATTTTTCTGTAAGTTCCAGGAGCTTGTTTGGTGATAAGTTCTTCTAGAACTATCCCCCCCAAAATGAAACCACCATACCTTGTTCAAATTTCTTTGAAGGGAAGACAGAGTGATGAGCTGGTTCTGTTTGTCACCTACCAAGGTGTTTCTACCTGAGTTTCAGTTTGGTGGCTAATTCAAGTGTATCAGATTCATAAGCACCAGCGCATCGGCCTCCCCAGAAAAAAGACGGTGACCCTTTCTGGGGCAGAGAGACCAGACAATGAGGTGCAGAGGGCAGAGCTCTTGAGGTTCCACCTGTGAGATGGGAAGAGGAAACATTTCAGAAGCAGGATGGGCAGCATTTGACTGGTGCGTTTTCACTGGAAAAGTCCTTGAAGCGAAGATAACTCCCTTCCCAGCCCTATGAAAAATGAAGCTAACAGGGAGACTGTGCCCCCTCTGACAGCGAATCCGGGGCCACCGTTCCCAGCCCTGCTGTCTGCCCGGCATTGCGGCTCTCTCTCCTCGGGCATCTATGTGAATACTCACTGACCTTTGCCGAAGTCACTGGGCAACAAAGCAGGTGTCTGCGACTCCACCCATGTTCACAGTGAAGAGGCCGTCTGCTGAAACACTGCCATCTTGTGGTTTGCTGAATAAGCAACTCAGCCCACAGCAACCTTGCACCTACCCCAGGCGTGGTCTCGCGGGGCCAGCCCGACATTAAGGTGATGGCAAAGCTCTCACTCTGGCCTGCGTCTCATTCACTCGCTCGTGCCAAAGGTCTACACACAATGACGTCTGATGTCTCTTGGTTCCTATAGTAAAATAGGAAACTTGACATTTCAATTAAAAAGGTAAAATAAGGACTTTTACCACCAGATTATAAAATTCCTCTTCTGAAAGAGGATACTATCATACTTGAAGATATGCTTTGAAAAAAATCATACACCAAATGAAAGGGGCACCGTTTCAAAAGCACTGGGACTACATTAAACTTAGATGAATTCCAATTTGGGTGAATGTCATATTTGGAGGACACTCAACTTTGTAAGGTAGAAGCAATTTCCTAGATACGGGCTGAACAGAAGCATTTACTTTGCCAGAAGGAGCCTTTGGGGGCATATTTGGGCTAATCTGAGGTTAGTAACTCCCTCTCCTCCTATCCCTCATTTAAAAAATAATCTCCATTATAGAAAATTCAAATAGGAAAAAAAGGGGGGAGAGTGGTTAAGCAAAATCAACAATCATCCTACTGTGTTGAAATAACTTAATATTTTAATATATATCATTTTCCTTTTACTTTGCTAAATATGCATATTTGTATAAAAATGGACTCATATTGTTCATACTGTTTTGTAGCCTGCTTTTTCACTTAACAATATATTTTGAAATCTTCCCCAATTTAAAAAAACATTAAGGCGATGGCCTTGCTTTAGAGATATGCAAGTGCTGTGTCCCTTCCTTCTCTTGCATTTCCAGCTTAGACACTTTCTGGAACAGAATATTTATTCATTCATTCAGCAGGTGTTCATTGGGCCTAATAAGAGCTAGGGGTCGGGTTAGGAGTTGGCACTCAGCCACGAACAAGGCAGAATTACCCCTGCCTTGGTGCACTCTCCAGCTGAAAGCCTCCGTCTCTTGTGCTCCCACCTTTGTCTCCACAGATGACGACTGCACCGACAGCTTCACCCCTAACCAAGTGGCCCGAATGCATTGCTATTTGGACCTCGTCTACCAGCAATGGAGTGAAAGCAGGAAGCCCACCCCCATTCCCATCCCCCCCATGGTCATCGGGCAGACCCGCAGGTCCCTCACCATCCACTGGCTGCCTCCCATCAGTGGAGTCGTGTATGACAGGTGAGAGGCGCGCTTGCCATGGGCGAGCCACATGAGCAAAGGGAGGGCTAAGAAGCGAGGGCAGCCCCAACTTGGAACACACTGCTCAGGGCTGCTTCCCCCGGCCCGCCCAGTCTCGGCGCCTTGGCAGAGCTCACGGGCTCTCCTGTGCGCCGACGGCTCATCCACGTGCTCTCTCCCGCTCAGGGAGAGGACCGAGGAGGCTGACCAGTGTGATGCGGGTGGACTAGCAGAGCTGAGAGGGCCTTCGCCGCGGTGCCAGTGGGCTGCCCCTCCGTGGTGTGAGGGTGGAGCGGGGCTTGCACAGTGCTGGGGGGAGCAAGGTGCGCCCTCCAGGCAGCTCTGGGTGCGAGAGTGGCGCACGCACACTGCCACAGCTGTGCGTCGGGAGCATAACCGACTCCCACAGGCGTTTCTAACACCTCCCCTGTCTTCCTCTCTTACGGCTGCTATCGTATGAAATTGTCGTCCACTCGTTTTTCTCTCTGCCCACTCAACTGGCACCTATTGGCAGGGGCAGCACTATATTTTGTCTCTTTGCCTCTTGCCCTGTCTCAATAGACACCTAATACATGTTTATTGAAGGAAAATGCTACCCCTCACTTTCATCCATTCTTTGCATATTGGCATTGATGAATTTCAGGGATATTTTTGTAAAAAAGAGATAAAAGTAGGAAAAAGAATGACATCTGTCAGTTGGTGGGGTAGGGGAACTGAGAAGGACCAGAACCCCATCTGTGACCTGTGTAGACTGGTGTCTTTCAAAGCCTACCACTGTATCCTGAATAACAAGAGTAGCTCATCAGTCCAGCTTGATGGCAGAAAAGGCTGCACTTTGCTTCCTTTTCTCAGTTAGGTAGGCTACAGTTTTGAGGCCTCCCAACACGTGTGTCAGGGGGACTCACGTCACATGCCCAGCGATTTGTGTCATGCTTGGAGTCATGTTTACTCCACCACAGTGGGTCTTTGGAACCCTTATGTCAGCGAGGAGCCCAGCTACGCACTCAGCAGCAGCCCCGGAAGGGCCAAGTGCATCAAAGAAATGTGGTCTGGGCTTGTGTCGCGTCCACATTAGAAGTGAGTGCTGATTGGGTCAGAGGTTAGATCTTAACTATACTTTTTAGTTGCCAAAGTACTGGACATTAGATGGTGTTTGGAACATGCTCAAAGGAATGAGGGGACTTGTGACCTTCAGCAATTTACTTAACTTCTCTGAGCCTGAGTTTCCTCATTTGTAAACATAAAGTTATTACAAGGATTAGAAATCATTTATGAAAAGCACAATGTAGTGGGACAATGCCAGGTATGTGAGGTGCTTAATAAGTGGGAATTGCTATCATTATTATTACCATTATTTTATAATACCATTTTTCTAGTGCATTAGAAGGTATCACTCTTCTCTCCCTACCTGTTGAGAGCCCCTAATTTGATGCCTTCATTTTTGGAATGTATTGTTCACAATCAGGCTTCTAACAAGATTCTACCTATCAGAGACAAGCCTCATAAATTGATTTCCCGTTGTTATTTAGCTATTATCATCTCTACCTCTTTCAGTTACCTCAAATATGGTACTTGTAGAATGCTTCATAGACTGTATTAATCATCTCATGGACATCCACAAAACAAGCATTCACAGAGGGACTGCTGAATCCAGTCCCTGAGCTCCCTGCTGGGGGTAGAAAGGAGAAGTGAGCTTGATCTGTTCACAAGCAAAGGAGAGGAGAGAATGTGAATGGGCATCTCAACATCAGCTGGCAGAGCCCTAAACAGGAGCCAGCAGGTGCAGGCATAGAGGAGGGAGTGCCGGCCACTCAGATGAGGCAGGCTAAGGTGTGACTGCAAAGTTTACACTTGCATGGCTATTGAGGGGTGAGTAGGAGTTTGCTAAACAGACAAGCCTGGAAAAGCTTTGGCAGCCTAGAGAACAGCATGCTCTATGGAGCTGTGTGAAGGGCATGATGAATTTGTGGAATGATGATATGTTCATTGTGCTGAGAATATAAAATCCATGTAGGTGAAGCTAGAGCTAGCTCATGAAGGACTTTGCGTCATGCAAAGAACTCAGATATATCCCCAAAGGCAATGGAGAGCCAAGGGACATTACAGTTCACATGACTTTTATTTTATGTATATGATTAAAAGTAAGGAATATAAAACATAAGAACACATATCTAATAAGTTTATTCTGAAAATATGGCAGAAAATATGTGCATGCTATATATCCAATGAAGAGCTGATAACTAGAATCTATAAAGAACTCAGGAAAATCAGTAAGAAAAAAATCAAACAATTCCATTAAAAAAGGAGGCAAAGGACATGAACAGAAACTTTTCAAGAGAAGATAGACTAATGGCCAGCATACATATTAAAAAATGCTGAACATTTCTAATCATCAGGGAAATAAAAATCAAAATCACAGTGAGTTATCATTTAACTTCAGTGAGAATGGTTTTTATCCAAAAATCTCCAGAAAACAAATGTTGGCATGGATGTGGAGAGATAGGAACACTCACACACTGCTGGTGGAACTGCAAACTAGTACAACCTCTACAGAAAGTAGTATGGAGATACCTCAGAGGACTAAAAGTAGAACTACTATTTGATCCAGCAATCCCACTACTGGGTATCTATCCAAAGGGAAGAAAAGACATTCTGTAATAAAGACATCTGGACTCAAATGTTTATAGCAGCACAATTCACAATTGCAAAGATATGTAAACAGCCCAAGTGCCCATCAATCCATGAGTGGATTAATAAAAGTAGTATATGTATACTATGGAGTACTACTCAGCCATAAAAATGTCGTATTTACTGCTTGCACCTCTTGTATTATCCTGGATGGAGCTGGAGCCCATTGATCTAGCACCTCTTGTATTATCCTGGATGGAGCTGGAGCCCATTCTACTAAGTGAGAAAAGTGTGGAAAACAAACCATAAGAGGGGAAAATCAAACACCACATGTACTCACCATTAAATTGGTACTAATCAATCAAAACTTATGCACATACAGAAGTAACATTCATTGGGCATTGGGCAGGTGGCAGGGGATGAGATGGGTGAATTCACACCTAACAGGTGCATGCGCACCATGCGGATGTAGGACACGCTGCAGCTCTGACTCGGGCAGTGCAAAGGCAATTTATGTAACCGAAGTGTTTGCACCCGCGTAACACTCTGAAATTTTTTTTAAAAAGCTTATTCTGAAAATGATTGTTTTAGTGGGGGAGATACGAGGGGACTTTGAATGGCTTATTGAGAGTTGGTGTAGAAAGGGGTTTATGTTGAGAGATTCATATTGTACTTGTTTGGGCTTTAATGTCCCTGGGATGGGAGGTACACACTTTCATCTCCACAGGCCTCCTTTATGACTTAGTTAAATTTTTCTGCTTCATGACCTTGAGATTTTCATGTCACTATGAATTTTGCAAAGGTGAGGTATACCCAAGAAGGAAACGGACTGAGAAATAGTTGTGTTTCCAGTTACCCTCTAGCGCCTTACCAGTGCCACCACGCCCCCAAAGGTCTTTCTAACTTCCTTATTCCAGGTCACCTGATGGACTGTCCCCACCTCTGTCCGTTTTTCTCCCCAGGGCCCTGAGCAGTGTGTGTGGCGCCTGCACTGAAGATGGGACGTTCCGTCAGTACGTGCACACAGCTTCCTCCCGGCGGGTGTGCGACTCCTCAGGTTACTGGACCCCAGAGGAGGCTGTGGGTAAAGAGCCATGGCTTTTTGATTCATCCCTGGCTGGCCACTGAGAATGGGGGTGGGAGTGAAGGGTCAGCAGTGGCATGGCGAGAAACAGACAGCGTGAGAGAGCATGTGTGTGAGTGTATGTGTTAATGGTCTGCCGGATACCTATGTCCGCAGGCCTTAGCGGGGCTGCCTGGCATCACTGTGTGCAGAATGTCCCACATGTGCCCACGGCGGAGGCCCCGTGGCTATGGTGGAGCAAGACCAGTCTATAGGGCAGAGGGATGGAGAGGCTGGCTGAACTCAGGGCTGACGTGAGGGTGCGACAGCCGCAGGGCGTGGTGTCACATGTGCCTACCGGCTGTGGAGCAGCCTGGCCACGTGGCAGTGCAAGCTGATCTCCGACAGAGAACACGCTGCGGAGGACACGCATGCACTGGCTGCGCGGGTCTGGGTGGGGGTCGGGGACTAGGTGTCCCACACTGATCGTCTTGTCTCTGCTGGTTTACGAGTCTGTTAATCCCTGGTACTGCTTGTGCTTTGGCTCTGATCTAAGCTAGGCTCTAGCAGGGGGAAAATATTTTTCACTATTTCTTTTTCTGTCCCTCCCCTAACTTCTCAAACAGTCACATACTCACTTACCTATGTACATTAGTGCCCCTAAGACAGATTATAGCATGAGATTTTTTCCCCTGCTTGAGTCCAGAAAATTCTGTTGACAGGGCCTTTAGCACCTCCTGACGGATGGCCCGACTTCTTTTATCACCATAGTCGTTAATGTTTACCTGATCATCATCTTTTTTCCCTCTGCTTTTTTTTCTTAAATTTATTAAGGTCCTGAAAACTACGCAGTAAGATGTGTTGGATGCAGTCCTGTCTGAATTAATGTGCAGTCTTGATCGTGACAAGAAGCAAAGGAGGATGTTGATCTAAGCAGTCTGTAGCACCTGCAAGATGTCATCTTTGGGCTCCCAGTTGCTCAGGTGGCAGGGCCTCAGGGAGGAATCTGGAGGAGCCAATTGACTTGATTGCTTGCGTGTGACTTTTTTCAAATGAGAATTTTCAGGGAAGAATGGAAAGTGAATATAAAGTTTACTGCATTGGAGTCATTTAGAGATCGACATTTCATAAAAGTCTATTTTTGTGGCAAACAGTTTGTCCTGTGCTGGTGTTTTAATGACTGTTTCATTCCCTGGCCCAGTACTTTTTTCTTTTTAATTCTTGGAAAAATTCAAAGTTATCTGGTAGAGGTGAAAGGAATTTGAAGTTCTGGGTTCTAATTCTTGTATTGTGTCTCAAAGCAAAACAAGTCAACTTTTAGGGACTCCATTTCATGCTTTAACATGAGGTCATAATAAAAACTTTTTGACTGGCAGTGCTGCTGTTGGGTTGGCTTCCAAGGGCCTTTACTCTGCTAGTATTTGGGGATAAGCATGAGATAATAGTAGTAGTTTTTCAGACTACCAACATTAGGCCTCAGAAGCATTAATTTATCACAAATTAATAAATTAAGTACATATAATTAATAATGAATAATGGTCTTCCCTTGCTTTGAAAGGGTGAAGGACCATATCTTATTTAAAATGTATACAATAAAAGTAATTTAACCCCTATAACAGAACGGGCACAAACATGAGGACTTTACAGATATGATCAAAATTATTTAATGACACTTAATGAACACTTATTGACCACCAGCTACTTTATAAATGCTATGAGGATTAGAAAACTGAACCAGACATATCCCTTGCTTAATTTTCATTTTCTTGCTAAGAACTTTCTGCCTCCACAATCTAAATTAGCTCCCAGCTCCACCCAATAATTCTCTATTCCCTTCTATGCCTTCATTTTTTTTCACAGATGCCATTACTACTTGATATTATACTTTATATCCCTCTGTCTATTTGTTGTTTCATCTGCCACCCTACTGTAAAATATATGAAAGCAAACCTTTTCTCTTGTTCACTCCTCTATCTCCAATACCTAGATTAGTGCTAACTGTGAGAGAGGTATGTCATCAATTTTTGTTGAATGAATGAATAAATCAATGCACAATGTATGCAAAAACCAATAAGGACCATAGATGTAACACAGTAGACACACACACACACACACACACATTTGAACTTGTTTTGTCTGGGCTTTGGGACATTCTTTATTTTCCAAATTCTGAAGGGCTAACCAATTCTACTTTGGCAAACAGATACTGAATGTCTATGGAACATTGTCTAGATCTCCACTCACCTAGAAAGGCAGGGGTTAAATATTATTACTTATCTTATAAAGGAGGAAGTTGAACCACAGAAAGAAGTGCCACAGCCACACAGCCAGGACAGTGCCAGCGAGAGCCTTGCTCTGCAGACTCCTCACTCAGCGCCTTCCCCTCTGGGATAGAAGAGAAAACCTTGTGTAGCTTATTTCCATAGAGCTGACTTTGATAGCTTGGTGATATTTGAGTTTTCCTCAACACATTTTTACTTGGCTAATGAATCTCCATTTTTTTCCCCACTCAGTAACAAGTGTTTATATGTCCTGCCCGCAGTTTCCTCCATGCAGTTACCCTCCTGCTCACACATTCCCGACTGAAAGGGAAATTTCACCGTATGCTTCTGAGGTTTGGCTAGCAGTCAATTGGCAGGACTGCCAAGGTGGGATCTTACAATTGAAGAAGAGCACTACGAAGATCGTAGTGACAAACTGAAATTAACACTGGGCTTCAGAAGCATTACTTCATCATAAATTATGGATAAACTTGGTACATATGACCTCTGCTGCTCAAGGATTCTTTAAGTGCTGTCTTAGCCTCTCTGCACCAGCCTCATGTTTCTGCCTAGGATGTGGGTTGATCCATTCCCAGTACCCTGCTGGATTGCTCTTGTTACTGGTACTTTGTAGAGGGATGGGGTATACAAGAGCATAATACTTTTTACATTTACACCTTTGTCCTTCCTATTGCCTAAGATCTAACCTACTAAGAGGACCAACTTCTGGAGGAATTCTAAGCTCTCTCCTTCTTCATTCCTCTTTCTGGCTGCTGCTAACAGGACTACTCGTATTCAGACTTTGAATGGTGGTTCCTATGTGTCTTTCTGCTCATCTCCCCCAGGGCCTCCTGACGTGGATCAGCCCTGTGAGCCGAGCCTGCAGGCCTGGAGTCCTGAGCTCCACCTGTACCACATGAACATGACGGTCCCCTGCCCCACAGAAGGCTGTAGCCTGGAGCTGCTCTTCCAACACCCGGTCCGAGCCGACACCCTCACCCTGTGGGTCACTTACCTCTCCATGGACTCCTCCCAGGCACTCTTTGACACGGAGATTTTGCTGGAACACCAGGAGTCTGTGCACCTGGGCCCCTTAGACACTTTCTGTGACACCCCACTCACGATCAAGCTGCACGTGGATGGGAAGGTCTCGGGGGTGAAAGTCTACACCTTTGATGAGCGGATGGAGATCGACGCGGCCCTCCTGACCTCCCGGCCCCGCAGCGCCCTGTGCGCCGGCTGCAGGCCGGTGGGCTACCGGGTTCTCCGGGAGCCGCCCTTCCCCAGCGGCGCGGCCGTGGCCGTGACACACCCTCGCAGGAGGTTCACGGACGAGTGAGTTGGGTGGCGCGGCCTCCGAAACTGTGGGGCTTCCGGGGGCTTTCGGTGGGTCTTGTTTCCTTTTCCCCACTTTTTGACATTTGGGTATGTCCTGAGTTGGAGAAAGATTAGAGTCTGAGAGGAAATTTTATTTAAGGTGGTGTCTTTGACATGGAGAAAAGTATTTCCCAGAGAGAGGCAGGCAGGTTCCTGATTGTTGATGCCATTATTATGATTATGGGAAAAAGAGGACAGTGTATGAGATGTTTCAGTGGGACTGAATGTAATTGCCACAAATAAGTTGATAAGAATCAGATACTTCTGTGCGGTGACAATTTAATTTCTGATTTCTTGCTGTAGCTTTCTGACCATCTGCCACAGATGCTGTGACAATCAAAAGTCTAGTCGACTCTTCCACAGCCAAGCAAAGAGCCAAGGGCTCCGCGGAGCCCTCCCTCAGTGTCATGACTCATTTGTGAAATGTATTTCATTCCTTCCCCCATTCTCATCTCTCCCTCCCTCCCTCTGACTTCTTTCCTTCTCTTCCAACTCTCCTTCTTCTCTTACTTGTGTTCTTTCTTTCTACATATAGTGAGATCTACCATTCGTATGTTCCTGGCACTGCGTTCCCAGTGCTGAGGACACAGCTAAGATAAGGCCATTACCTACAAATAATTCCATGTCTGGAATAAGGAGGCTGCTATCTCCAAAGGCACATTCTCTCCATCTCATAATTTTCCTTAGAGACTCCCCTGAGGGCAGAAATAGGGTCACAGTTTTATCAGAGATGTTATGTCAGTTAGCTTTTCCTCCATTAGAAAGCATCACAAAATGTAGTGAGTGGGTTAAAACAACTCAGGATTCTATGGGTGGGCTGGGTGTTCTCGTCTAGACTGACTTGGCCGCAGACAGATGGCCCAGGATGACCTCTCATACATATTGGCGGCCTTAGCTGAGACAGCTGGCATGGCCAGGAAGAGGAGGGCCTCTTTCCCTGTGGTCTCTCAAGGTCTGACCTGGGCTGCTTCTCATGGTGGTGGAAGGGTGTCTAGCAGCAGAGAGAACAAGCTCAAAATGCTTGCACTTTTCAAATCTCTGCTTTATGTTACTCGTGTTAATGTTCCAGGAGCCAAAGAAGGTCAATTCTAGCATCAAGGGTGGCAAAATAAACTCTCCCTTTAGCTGGGAGAGGCTGCAAAGGCGCGTGGCAGAGAAGCGCATCTGGGACGGGGTGGTCGTTTGGCAGACCACCACAGCTACAGAACAGTTGAGAAAAGTGTCCGCCTTAAGCTGTACTACATTTTCCTCCCATGTTTGCTTTCTTAATTAGAACTAGAAGACAGTGAATGGAAAAAAAAAAAAAACTAATGCAAATGGGAGGCTAGATCATGGATTTAAAAAGAAAAAAATCATTTTGAACTTCTTTAATAAGGCAGGTAAAATGACATTTGTCATTTAACTTGCTCCACACACACACACACACACACAGACACACAAGTTTAAGGTCAATAATAATATCCCATTTTGTAGATGAGGAAACTGAAGCTTAACCTTAATGTGGTTGAATAGCTAGTAAATGGTAGACTCAAGATTAAAATCCAGTTTTCCAACTGGGATCTCATTTTGGTCCTCTTTCTCCTTACAAACTCAGATCGTTGAAGGCGTGGGCTACCTGCTGCTGAGTTTTTCCCTCAAGAAGAGTAAACAAATGCTGACATCTCCATCCACTCCTTTCCCCAGCCGCAGGGCAGTGTAAGACTTTCATGCATGGCTGGGCAAGAAGTCTGACAGTAACCGCCCTGTAAAGAAAACCAGCACTGATTAGGATATAAAATTGGTTTTGCTTTCAAAATATCTGGCACTTTCATGAGAGGGTTGCTTCTTTGAAACTAATTTGGAAATTTAAAAAAAATAAATATTTAGGTGCCTTTCCTATTAAAATACCTAAAAGCCCATACAGAGGCTTTTAAAGGTGTTTTTGAAACTCCGAGACATTTTCTGTTTACTGGTTGCTGCATCGGGTGTGGAAGTGGAGGCTTTGTGGTTGACTTGAAAAGTCTGCTAGAGAAGAGAAGCTCTTGGCAGAAGATTTATGATGGCCACTCATGGCAGTCCCAACAACCCTTTGAGATCCTGTTCTCCTAAGTAACACCAATGCCACCTTGACTTTGGTGGTAGTTTTCCAATTAGCGCCGGCACTGTACAAAATTAAGATGAGGACAGAATTTGTCTTTGGACCCAGCAGTCTCCTTCATGAACTCTTTCCCCTTCCAAATGTCTTACTGCTCAGGCTCTCCACATGAGAGAGGCTCTGATAAGCTCCTTTCATCTCTAGCATCAACTGACACACTCTATTCCTGGTTATTCATTTTCACAGATTTGGAGGTGGGGAGTAATTTAATGCATTTCCAAAATGGTTGTGAAAGGTGTTCTCACCTTCTTCAATGAGGCAGGTTGTCTTATATATAAGGATTGTGTCTCCTCAAGAAAAGAATTGTCTTGGGAGATAATAAAACTGAACCACAGGCCCAAAAAGGATCTTGCTGAGCCCAAACTCTGAAGCTTTCATGTTGTTTCTTTGATTACTTTCACAATGTAAAAGGCTTGTTTTTTCAATAGTTGTTTTGTTTTACTATGGTAAAAATACACTTGAAATGCCATTCTCCTAGGTTGACTAAGATCGTTGAATTCAGTGTCAATTCAGCAAGCATTTATTGCATATCGACTTTGTGAAATGTACAGGGAATCCAGAAATAGAAATGATTTCAAACATTGTGTTGCTCCACAAGGCTATGTGCCTTGATCTTTGTTTTAAACTCTGTGGCATATGCTTAACACTTATGTCCTTGGTAATATTTCCCTCAAACTCCTGCAAACCATCTGAAAAGGACTCAGGGTATGTCTCACTTTGTGGACGTAGTAGTCACAAGCCCATTGGTTTTTACAGGGAAGTCACACCTGGGCAGATGTATCGGTACCAAGTTCAAGTTGAAGCTGGAACAGAACTGGGAGAAGCTTCACCTCCTCTGAACCACATCCATGGAGCTCCTTACTGTGGAGATGGGAAGGTGGCAGGGTGAGTATGGTGGGGGAGTATGTGAGCAAGGATAATGTGCCCTGCTCTGACAAAGAGGCTCAGCCTCCAGTTTAAGTTTGACTTGTTTTGGAAACACAAGGGGTGAGGCACTGTGTGGTTCTAGTTGAAATTATAAAATCTGGGGCTTGGTCATGATTTTGAGAGGTCCCTGACATTTCTACATAGCTACGGAGGGAACTACTTTTATTTAGAGTTTACCCCAGAGTATTGAGGTTTTGGGGTTGATTCTCTGGGAGCCTCTTAAGGCCTCAGTGACTGGAATTTATGCAGAAGAAGGTTACTTATCAAATGATGCTGAAAGAGGGTATCTTTTGGACCAATGACTGCTAACTAGCTATGGGGTCTGAGGAAAGTCAGTGCGTCTTTTTTACTTCAGTTGCTCATTTAACCCCTGGATGAGCTGAAAAATGTCCAGCTATTCTGTAAGCACCACCAATGTAAAGACAAAATCACTCCTTTGGATTTCTTAACATACCATGTTCCTTTCCTGTTACCCTTTTATGATATCAACCTAGGGGACTGATTCATTCTGATTTGCCTAGGACTTTCCCAATTTAGCATTAAAAAAATCACCAGAAAACCAGGACAGTTGGTCACCTTACGTAAACCTATCCCTAACGCTCATCTAAGTTCATTTATTACCTATAGAAAGCTGCTGGGAACAGGAGGCTGGAAGGCCAGGTACTATGATTTGTCCTAGATTCTGTATCCTAATAAAATGGCCTATTATTAATTTCCCAGACTTGGTAAAAATATATTGTGTTTACAATATAAAAATATATATTGTATATATATTGTGGCCTGACTCAGTCTCAGCCTGCCACCTTCCCTTCCCCGTCTCAAACCAAATTTGGGAATGCCTCACACAAGTACAGAACAGGTCTGCATGTTGCTGTTGTCTTCCATGTTCTAGACGCTTCGTTTTACGTCTGCAGCCCGCCAGTGAAGGTGTTGGAGGGCTGGGTTACCACTGCTACACTGGCAGAGCACTCCTTGGACAGAACACTAAGCCACAGTGTCTCCTAAGACAGCTGTCTGATGGTGGCTGCCCCAGGCTCGGCCCCGGGGTGACTCATGTGCCTGCAGGGTGTGGGACAGCAAGGGGAAAGGGCTGTCTCCCTCTCTGGGTGTTGCACATTCTCCTGGGGCAGCGCTGCTGGGCTACTGGGTCTCACAGGTTCCCTAGCCAGATGTTCTTTAAACTTCTGCCTGTATGTCCTCTCTCTGTGGAGTAATTAGCGCTTCCCTCCAATGGGAAGGAATTTCTGAATTCTAGCTCTGGCTCAGCTGGAGGCACCCCGTTAGGCATAAAACGAGAAAGTCATTTAATCCACGTGGGTGTCGCATGCCAATAAGACAATCAAAACAAACACAGTGCAGGGCCCTGGAATCGTGAGCAGCACTCACTCAGAAGTCGATCCTCTCAATCTGTGCTGTTCCATGTGGGAGCCACCAGCCACATGTGGCTCTTGAGCCTTTGAGATGTGACAAATGCAACTAAGAAACTGAATCTTTAATTTTAAGTAATTTAAACTTAGTTTACAAACAAAAATCAATTTTATTATTGGAAAACTTTTAAGTATATTTGGAACAACATTTTTTTCAGCCATAAATTTTATGAAATCTAAGTACAGATCAAGTATTCAAATTGAGATGTGTTATAAGTGAAAAATCCACACGAGATTTCAAAGGCTTAGTATGTAAAAAGAATGTAATATTTCTCATTGATGATTTTATACTGATTATAGATTGAAATGATAATATTTTGGGTATGTTGGGTTAGATGAAATATGCTATTAAAACTAATTTTACGTGTTTCTTTTCACTTTTGTAATGACTACTAAAATTAATAATTATATTTGTGGCTCTCATTATATATCTATTGGGCAGCACTGCATAAGGTGATACACAAGATGCTTATGTTAATTGTTTAGATTATCTTCAAAATGAATAAAAATTTTGACCTCCAAGATTAATGGTGTACCTCATGTAGAGAAACACAGATGCAGGTTAATCCTCTCTTCCTATATGAGCAAACTGAGGTATTAAGTATTTTGAGACTTCCTGGATATATCACACACCTGATCAGATTCCCAGTATAGTCTGTTTTCATTGAACCACATTCCCTTTATGTAGAAAAAGAATTTGAAGTTTCCTTAATTTCTCTAATTATTTTGTTTTTTATATCTCTTTTATTTTTTCTCCACTTCCAGCTTACTATTTAAAATACGATTATTATACTATTGTTTTTATATTATACTCTTTATTTATTTTAAAACATTCTCCTATCTAATTATTTAATCTTTAAATAAAATACTTGACTTATATTTTAAACAATAGTCAGAGCTATTAGTGATATCCTGAGTCTGAAAATACTTCAGCATTCCAAAGTCCTGTATCTACTGGGTTAAAATATATGCCCATTTGGAACATGTGAAAAGTCAAGGAGAAAAAATGGTAACCCTCATCCATTTTGCAATAGCCATATCTTCATTCTTTCATAACAGCATCAAACTATATCTATTTTATTCCCATAAAATGTTTAATGTCTCTCTCACTATAAACTAATTCCTCAATCTCAATCAGTTGTATTAGCATTTGAGGTTTGAAACACATTTTTCTTCTCCCAGCATTTGTTTCTTCCCTGCAATATTTGTTAGCTGCCATCAGGTGGTAGTAGGGAGTAAGGACCAGGACCTGAGCCCTAGAGATGCCCTGGACTGAGAAACGTGCACAGTGGGGCTGCTTATGTCTCTGGGTATAGACAAGAGATCTGTTCTGTAACATCTTGACTTTTACAACTGCAGCTATGTGGAACAAAACAATAAAAATATAAAGAAATAGATTAAAATAAATAGAAAACAAAACCACACAATCAGGTTTTCTTCTCACCAAATCAGCAATTTCTAAGACTCCATTCATAATAGGGCCAGTAGACCTTTTCTAAGGTTAAAACCCTCTACCAGAAGCACTGTCAGGACCCTCATAGTTCTCCTACGTGTTTCTGAGCCATGAACTACTTGACTTCCAGGAATTACCACAACCTACTGGACATGCCAATTAACAATCACTGCTTAAATAATATCTGCTTTAAATATATGTACGTTTGATTTTCTTCTGTATAAGCATTCTCGTAGCTCCTACTTTTCCCCAGCTTGCACTTTTTAATATATAATGAGGAATTTTAAGAATTTAAAATGATGGTAGCTAAACAAGAAAAACTATTTCACGTATATTACATATGTATGTATGTTTTTACCTTCTAGGAGCCTGGGAGAAGAGTGTGATGACGGAGACCTCCTGAGCGGAGATGGCTGCTCTAGGGCATGTGAGCTAGAAGAAGGCTTCAAATGCGTAGGTGAGTTCAAGAGTTCCTGCCTACGGTTGTGTCTTACTTTTGGAGGTGCCTCAGAGTATTATTCTTGTGAGTTCTTGATGTCTTGTAACAACCAGCTAGGTGATAACAATAGCAATAACATTTGGTGTGTCCATGGTATGCCAGGCACTCATTGTTGCACAGACGTTATCTCATAATCATTAGCATAGCTATGAGGACACTAAACTGAGGCAAAGAGGTTAAATAACTTGCGTTTGCTTATATAGCCAGAAGAATTATAGTAAAGGCAGGATTTGAACTAAAGAAGTGCAGCTCTAGAATCTACGTGTTAAACCATTATGTTATATTGCTTCCTGGCTTCATGTGACCAGGGATTTCTCTTGAGTCCTCATATGCAACACCAAAATGTCAGATAAGTAGTACGATTATATAGATCCTACATACAAATTAGCATAAGGAAACATTCATTCTAAGCCAAAGGGAGTGCATCAAGATGTAAAAACATCTTGGTGATGTGTTTAATAGACAAGATCATAAAGGATAACAGAGGGTTAGAACATTTTTTAGTCTTGGTGTATCACTGGTCATAAATTATAACTTTGACTTAGAGTCTAAAATGACTTTGACTCTAGACCCTTGCCACTCAGGGAGGCAGTCTACAACTTTTCTCCCAATTGTGGCTAAAACCATCGTCAACAGGTTTCTTAGATGCAGATTATTTTCCATTCCCATCTGCATATATGGCAATGATTTTGTGGTACATAACTGCACATCAAAGTTACTTTAAATAGCAGTTCATTTAAAAATATTTTAATGTCTCTAAGTCTTAAGATAAAGTAGGATATGATTGTAATGACATAGAACACACAAATGCCTCTGCCGTCCAAAGCCAGAGCTAAATCCTAGAATCTTAGTGGTCATCCATCCGTTTAACAAATGCTGCCATGTACCACGTACTCAGTGCCTGCTGTGCACCATAGGCTGATGCAGACCCTGATCCCTTCATGAGTACGAGTCCAGCAAGGACTTAGAGCCTAGCTTGACTCCCTTACAGAAATCCCTTCTACCAAATCCTGAGAGATAGGCATCTAGCTTCTGCTTACATAATTCTAGTAGTGAAGAATGTGCCTTAAAACAGACCATCCTGTTTAAAAATGGTGCGATCTGTTCTAAAATCTTTCTCCCTTATTCTGCTATGTGAACTGAGGCATAGAGCACTTCAGTGACGCCTCCAAGGCACACAGGGAGGCCTGTGCCTCGCCGGCCCTGCAACACGCTTCCCTCGTGCTTAATCACGTGTGTTTTCCTTGCTGTGAAACTACAGAGAATACATTTTTTTCCTGTTTTGTTTGACTGCTATTCAGATATTTGAAACGCCTCCCCATTATTCTCCTTTCCAATCCAAACATCCCTCATGTTATTAGGTTTCCAGACCCTTTCCTATTTACCCCAAACTGGCACGCTTTGTGTGGGCAATGCCCAGAAAAGAATCCAATACTCCAGATGTGGTCTGGCTGTGCAGAATGCCCTGAACTGATTGCCTCCCTCTTCTGTACACGGGTGTTTGTTAACACCACCTCTGTTTGCATCGTTCCTTTTAGGTAGCCACTGTCTCATATGGAATATAAATATATGTTCTCCAAAGAGGTGCTTTCTCCAGTGCAGCTCAAGTCTCATTTAACTTAAGAATAAACCTTATTTTGTTCATATCACAATTGATCCCATAGAGTTCAGCTCATATTTCCTTAGCCTATAACTCCAGTGAGACTATATCTCAATTATTTTAACTATATTTAAATACTATATTTAATATTATATTTAAATTATTTACAGAGTAAAATTAAAATGATATATCCCACAATTAAACATCTTTTTCAGTGAGTTGTAAGTTCATTATGTGCTAAGCACATATTTTTATTCCATTATTTCTCAAAAGATTGGGTTTGAAGGAACTGTCATAAAATGTATTTTTAAAGTAGTCTGTTATTTTCAGATGGATTTGAAAAAAAAAAAATCACAGACAAAAATATTAAGTCCCTGGTGAAAAGACAGAGACAAGAACCAAGAAGGAGCATCCCCTGGGTTATAAATAGAAAAACAGAACAAAATGACAAAACAAAATTACATATTTCTCTCTCCCTCTATCTGTATAGAGATGGAGAGGGAGAAAGGAAGCATCATGGGAAGGTAATTGCAAAGGCACATACGTTAGCGTTGGGGGAGGGGCTTGAATAGGCCACAGGTTTGATAGAAGGCAGCAGCCTAAAGCCCCAAGTAGTCTTAGAACCAAGTCCTGTGAACAGTGACTTATTTCTGGCAAGTGGAGATGAATGTGCCACAGAAGGGTCTTAGACTTGAGAAAATTATTAAGAAAAGTAATTAATAACTATATGTTGATGAGCAGCAGACTAATCACTGAGACAGCACTGTGGTATTGCTGTGAAGAATTGAAAGTGAAAAGAATGGTATAGTAACAGTAAATTGTAGTAATGATGTTATTGACTCTGTGCCTGTGTTAATTTATTTCGAATCTTGATCTTATTTTCATGCTTTATTATTTTAAGTAGAAATGGGAAATTAGAATTGTGCTGTTAATAGTAAATTGTCCCATGTTTTGGTAGAAAATGCAATAGAACTTAATAAATGGCTTTGCAACTGCTTCTCAGCTTTCTGCAGTTGAAGCAAGCAAGTCTACCTGTCTATAAAGAGTCGGCACGAGCCACAACTGGGAGTTGTCCTCTGAGCGGGTGTGGGACTTGTCCAGCGCATATCAGCTTGCTTTACAACCCCAGCAGTGTTTTTCAAACACTCATTGCTCACTTGTTTGCTTTCAAAGAAAGCCCCTCTTTCTCAGCCGGGGGCGACGTGCAATGCTAGAGAGCGCTGAGGCCGTTCGGCGTGCCTGGCTCGAGCCCACGCTCCGTTGCTTACCAGTCAGGGGTCCTTGGGAAGTCATTTAAAACCACCGAGACCCACGTTTCCAACTGACAAAACAAATAAAATATACACACCTCACATAGTTGCCCTAAATGAAATAATACAAATGTAATCCTTTAAAGCCGGAGCCGGTCGTGTCTAGTTTCAGAGCAGTTACACAGTTGAAGAAACACAGTTCAGCAGCAAAAAAGTAGTGGAAAACAAACCCCTCAAATACTTGAATATTTCAAAATCTATGAAGGGTTCACATACATACCACATCGTGCCATTTATTTAAATGCCCTCTCTTCTTTTACCTCCCTCCCTTATATGTCCAGCTTCCCCTAGTATCTCCCTCAACTATTACTTAAAATGAGGCAATGATATAAAATGTAACCAAAATGTTTGTGCCCGCATAATATCCTGAAATAAAATAAAATGTCTTTCCACGCTCCGCCTACAGCTATTTTTCCCCCCTGTTCCTTCTCCCTATTCCCAAGCCTTGCTATACCTTTATTTAGTAGATGGATTCTAACTCTCTCCTAATGGAAAAGAATCCTTCTGCTTAGGGGGGTGGGGACGCGCATCTGTGTGTTTGGGGTGGGCATTAGGTTGGCTGGCAATCACACATTCTCTTTACCGGGCTGGAGAAGAAATGCTGTGGACACCCATGTTAGTTTTTCCCATGACACATATAAAAACAGTCTTTCAGTGTCGTGCACTGTTTCTTGCCAGGGGAGCCGAGCCTTTGCTACCTGTACGAGGGAGATGGGGTATGCGAGCCTTTTGAGAGGGACACCAGCATCGTGGACTGTGGCCTCCACACTCCCAAAGGACTCCTGGATCTATGGGCCACCCAGGCTTACTCCTCTAACGAGGACAAGAGGAAGTGCCCTGTTTCCTTGGTAACTGGAGAACCTCATTCCATGGTAAGTTAAGCCAGGCGAATAGGGCTGAGGCTGAGCAAGGTTGTGAAGTGACTCCTCCAGACGCTTAGTAAGAGCTACATTTGACTCCCGACTTTGACTTCAAATTTTGTCCTTACTAATCTCAAAACAAGATAATGTTAAGTGAAAAGCTTCCAGATTAGCAGTGAAATAAACCCCACCTCCCCACTCACCCTCTTACCCTCACTGGTTTTCATGCAAGGGCGACTCCAAGGTATATACAAGTATATTGAAATTTAACTCAGTAAACTTATCAGAAATTATGCTTTGGCTTTGTTTGGGATAATTTAATTTAATTAGTTAATTTATTTATTTTAGAGACAGGATCTCACTTTTGTCACCCAGGCTGGAGTCCATTGGCATGATCATAACTCACTGCAGTCTTGAACTCCTAGGCTCAAGTGATCCTCCTGCTTTAGCCTCCTGAGTAGCTGGGACTACAGGTGCACACCACCATGCCTGGCTATTTTTTTTTTTAATTCTTATTTGGAGAGACAGGTGTCTCACTATGTTGCCCAGGCTGATCTTGAACTCCTGGCTTCAAGCAATCCTCTCCTCTTGGTCTCCCAAAGTGCTGGGATTACAGGCAGGAGCCACCATACCTGGGCGATAATTTTATTTTAAAGAAAGAGAAAGAAGTAGCAAGGAGTTAGAAGGCCTAGGTGACACTACCGATCTGCCAGTATTACCATCATTATTACATGGTGCTGGACGAGCCACTCAGCCTCTCTGGGTCCCCATTTTCTCATATGCAAAATGGCTGTAGTAATACCCTTTGCTTAACTCAGTGGTTTATTATAAGGATCAAATGAGATTTAAAAGATATATTAAGGATCAAAGTATAAATTAATTTAAACTTTATTATTGAAGAAATCCTAGAGTTGGTACTAGAAGCAAATCCTCAGCAATACAATTTTCACCTGAATATCCACCTAAGTAGATAAATCTTCTGAGGGCTCTAAGATGCTATACCGATAACATCTATAAATTATAGTTGAATACTAGAAAGAAGATTAAGAGCTCTTGGCTCAGTACCCTTCCAGATGCTTCCATTGCCAAACAAACTCATTCATCATAACAATAGGCAACACAGTCCTTTCAAAGGAGTGAGATTTAGCCTTCTATGTTTAGGCCAGAATGAAAGAATCTGATTTTAGACTTGAGGAGACATATCTGAGAAGACTGAGGGACCAGCCAGCTGGTGCTCCAGTTTAAAGGTCTCATCAAGGACCCTGGCATCTTCTGGATTCCAGCTCTTCTCCTGGCTTATAGACTTGCTTTTTCCTCGTGTTCATAACATGGCTGCTGCTGCCCATGCTGGCATGAAGTCAGCATTCCAAGTAGGAAGAAGGGGGCATGCCAAAGGGAAATAAGTGCATGCCAACTAGCTGAGTCTTTCCCTTTTATTGGGAAAATGGCTGCTTTTCTGGAAGTTCAACATCATAGACTTCCACCCACATCTTATTGGTCAGATCCACTTCATCATCCTTAGTTGTAAGGAAGCCCAAACAGCTGAGCAGTTATACTGGATACGCTATCACCTTGAACAAAACTGGAGTTTGTTAATAAGAAAATAAGGGGAAATCGATATGGTTAAGCACCCAGACATCTCTGCCACACTCTCTCAGCCTCATTCTGGTATTTTTTCCATTGAGTTCTGGCACCCAAAGACAGGAAGCCAGGAAAGTTGAGAGGTTCTGAGTTAGTGACAGCTCTCTGAAGTGGCTTTTAGTCTAGCCTGACTGTCTTCCCTAGGTGAAGTGGCAGAAATGTCCTGGGGTTTTTCTTGTCTGGCTCCTTTGCACAGCTGGATGCTCAGTGCTTACCTGAACCAGCAGTGTCATCCCTGGGGCCAGCCGGTGCTGCCTGGCAAGGACCGGACCTTGGTCCTCACCCATCCTGCGGCTGATCCTGGGAGCAGCCACCTGAAATGTGCCAGGACTACTCTTTGTGCAAGATCCCTGAGCTGACAATGAGCTAAAAGTCATTGTTTGTATTTTTATACCCTGGCAAACTATGTCTTGATGTTAACAGAGAGCACTGAGAAATTCTTCTACATTGAGAAAAGTTTTCTGCCAATAATGTGATTATCAGGCACTCAAAAAAAGAACAACATTGGTTTTGAGCTGGAGAGTTGCTTGTCTTTACTTATCTCTCCTACTCTACACTTGCATTAATAATTTTCGGTTGAATTGTCTTTCAGGTTTGCACGCCATACCATCCAGATTTGCCCAGGCACCATCCCCTCACTGGCTGGTTTCCCTGTGTTACCAGTGGAAACAGAGCTCAGGAGGAAGAGAGTGAGCAGCCGGAAGGTGGCCTGCAGAAAGAGGATGAGGTTTGGCTTAAAGTAAGCATCCCAGATGGTTTTATGAGGGCTGCGGATGGGGGGAGGGTGCACGTGTGCTTGCGAAATGGTTGCGTTTGGATGACTTGTCAGGAAATTTTATTTCGTTATCTCAAAATTTTTATATTTTGAATTTATTTTCATTCTCTCTTAATTACGGACTCCTTTCTGTATCCGTAATCAGTTTGCCAAAGTGTAACATACACACAAAAAGTGCAAAAATCAGAAATGCACACAGCTCAATGGATATTGCAAAGTGAACATCCTTTCTAACCACCACACAGATCAAGGGCATTTGGGTCACCCCAACCAGAGCCCCTTCTCGCTGTATCACTGAGGTCTCTACTGTTTTTACTATCACCATAGATTAGTTTATATGAAAATTACATATGAAAAACTTTACAGTATGTACTCTTTGTGACCAATTCTTTCTTATTCAACGTTGTATTAATATTTGTGGGATCCATTCGTACTGCTTAACTTAGCAGTAATGTTCATTTTCATTGCAATGTGACATTCCAATGTATGTATATATGTTGATAAGTATTGAGGTTATTTCTGTTTTTTCTCTATTATACAATTAAAAATTGTTCCACGATAAGCATTTCTGTACATTTCTTATGCTGATCATGTATAAATGCATGAATGTGTTCGGAACTGCTAGATCATAAGTAAGCTAGCTTTAGTAGCTAACCCCAAACACTTTGCCATTGTGGTTGTACTAATTTATACCCACACCAGAGGTTAATGAGTGTTTCTACTGTTTTACATTTTCATCAACACTTGGTATTTTAATTCTTCATTTTAATGTTCTGTTGGATCTATAAAGGTAAGCCCCTGTTGTTTCAATTTATATTTGCATGATGACTAATGAGATTGGGATATATATATATATATATATATATATATATATATATATATATATATCTCAGACATTGAAATATCTTTTTTTTTTTTTTGAAGAGCATAGTCAAGTATTTTGCTCAATATTCCATTGGGTAGTCTGTCATTTTTGTCTTAATTTATATGATTTCTTTATAATCTTCTGAATATAAATTATTTTTCAATTATATGTTCTTTAAAAATCTTCCAACACTATGCCTAAATTTTCTTGGTCTTAATGGCATCCTTAGATGAACTGAAGTTCTAAATTTTACTGATGTCCAGTTTATCCTTCTTTTTCATTATGGTTAGTGCTTTTTGTATACTGTAATAAAAAATATTTGCCTGCAGCAAAGGTGTGCTTTCCTATGATACCTTCTAGAAATGTTATGGTTTTACCTTTTGTGTTTATGTCTACAATCCCTCTGGAATTTTTGTACATTGTATAAAGTAGGGACCAATATAGTTTGCCTGCAGATATTCAATAGAGCTAGATCCACCATTATTCAAACTGAAAGTTTCTTTTCCCCACTGTGCTGCACTATGTCATCTTTTTTATCAACCAACTGGCAATATATATGTGGAGGTGGTTTACTGATTCTACATTTTGTTCTACTCGTTTGTATATTTTTGCACTCATAGTGTACTCTTAAGTACTGTCCATTTTAAATGAGTCTTAAAATCTAATAATGTAAGTCCTAAATATTGGTTTCTTTTCTTCCAGATTGTATTGGCTATTCTTGGTATTTTGAATTTCATATGAATTTTGGAATTCGATTATCAATTTCCATATGTAACAAAAACTTAGATTATTTTGACTGGGATTTTATTAAATCTGTGAGTCAATTTGGGGAAAGTTTTCTCTTCAGAATACTGAGTATTCTAATATACTTCTTCAGAATACTGAGTATTCTAATATACTTCTTCAGTTATAAGGAATTAGTTTCTTTAATTTCTGTTATTAACATTTCATAGTTTTTTGAGAGAGAGAAGTTGAATTTTATCAAATGCTTTTTCTGCATCTATTGAGATGAACATGTTATTTTCCCCTTTGTTCTGTTAATATCTTGATTTACATTGATATATTTTTAAATACTAAACAACCTTAGATATCTGGATAAAAAAACAAACAACAATGTGGAGGTGATATGTTATCCTTTCAAAATAGTTTTTGAATTCTATTTGAGAATATTTTGATTTGTTTTCATCTACATTCATTAGAGGTCAGCTCATACTTTTCTATATTTTGTTTTATTTTATTTCAACATATTATGGGGGTACAAATGTTTAGGTTACATGTGTTGCCTTGCCCCACCCACCCCCAGTCAGAGCTTCAAGCGTGTCCATCCCCCAGAAGGTGCACATTGCACTCATTATGCATGTATATGCCCATCCCCTCCTCCCCCTCCCATCTGCCCAACGCCAGATAAATGTTATTCCTGTATGCACACTTAGGTGTTGATCAGTGAAACCAATTGGCTGGTGAGTACATGTGGTGCTTGTTTTTCCATTCTCGAGATACTTCACTTAGTAGAATGGGTTCCAGCTCTATCCAGGAAAATACAAGAGGTGCTATATCACCATTGTTTCTTATAGCTAAGTAGTACTCCATGGCATACATATACCACATTTTACTAATCCACTCATGAATTGATGGGCACCTGGGTTGTTTCCACAACTTTGTAATTGTGAACTGTGCTGCTATAAACATTCGAGTGCAGATATCTTTTTTATATAATGTCTTTTGTTCTTTTGGGTAGATGCCCAGTAATGGGATTGATGGATCAAATGGTAGATCTACTTGTATTGCTTTAAGGTATCTCCATATTGCTTTCTACAGAGGTTGAACTAGTTTGCAGTCCCACCAGCAGTGTAGGAGTGTTCCTATCTCTCCACATCCATGCCAACATTTATTGTTTTGGGACTTTTTGATAAAGGCCGTTCTCACTGGAGATAAGTGAATTTTCATTGCAGTTTTGATTTGCATTTCCCTGATGATTAGAGATGTTGAACATTTTTTCATATGTTTATTGGCCATTATTCTGCCTTCTTTTAAAACTTCTGTTAATGTCCTTTGCCCACTTTTTGATAGGGTTGTTTGATTTTTTCTTGCTGATTTTCCTGAGTTCTACAAAGATTCTAATTATCAGCTGTTGTTTATCATGTGTAGCTTGCAAAAATTTTCTCCCTTTCTGTAGGTTGTCTATTTGCTCTTGTGACAGTTTCTATGTCTGTGCAGAAGCTTTTTAATTTGACCAGGTCCTATTTATTTATTTTTGTTGCTGCTATAATTGCCTTTGGGGTCTTCTTCATAAATTCTTTGCATAGGCCAATGTCTAGGAGAGTATTTCCAATGTTTTTCTCTAGAATTCGAATAGTTTCACACCTTAGGTTTAAGTCTATTACCCAGCATGAGTTGATTTTTGTGAGAGGTGAAAGGTGTGGATCCTGCTTCAGTGTTATACATGTGGCTATCCAGTATTCCCAGCACCATTTATTGAATAAGGATCTTTTCTCCAGTGTATGTTTTTGTCTGCTTTGTCAAAGATTAGATGGCTATATAAGAATGGTTTTATATCAGGGTTCTCAGTTCTGTTCCATTGGTCAAAGTCCCTGTTCTCGTACCAGTCCAAGCTGTTTTAATTACTAGAGTCTTGTAGTATAGTTTGAAGTCTGGTACATTGATACTTCCCATTTTGTTTTTATTGCCTAGGGTTGCTTTTGCTATACGGTGTCCACGGTGTCTTCTCTGGTTCCATACGAAGTGTAAAATTTTTTTTATTGTCTTGTAAGGTTTTGTGATCAAGGCTAGGTTTGAATCCTAAAATAATCCAGTTCCTTTTTCCTCCTAGTTCTTTGACATATTTTGTGTAAGGTTGGTGTTAGTTTTTTGAGATATTCACCAGTGAAGCTATCTGAGCCTAGAGTTTTAATTGAGGAAAAAACTTGAAGTTATGGATTAATATTTTAAAAGAAATATAGAAAAAATAGGTTTTTCATTTCTTCCTAAGTCAATTTTACTCTGTTAATGTTTTCAAATAATTTGCCCATTTTTTCCTAAAATATCAAATTTATTAATTTTTTTTACAATATTCTATTTTTTTATTTGTAATGTTTCAGTATGTTTTTCACTCATGCTATTGTTAATTTGTGGCTTCTCTCTCTTTTTTTGGCTCAGTCTTGTTAAGCATTTATCATTTCATTAACCTTTTATTAATCTTTTGAAACAACCAACCAAAGATATATATGTTCCTAATTTTCATTATTTCTCACTTTTTATGTTTGCATTTAACTTGTTCTTCTTTTTCTAGTAACTTGGGGTGATATTTAGATAATTGATTTTTAATTTACATCTTATTTATTTCATCATTCATTTCAAAACTATTTTCTAACTTTCAGCATGATTTCTTTATTTACCCCTATGTTATTTATAAGTGTACTGCTTAACTTGAAAACATTTGTGGATTTTTGGTTACATTAAAAATTTTTTTTTAACTTATAGCTAGTTTATTCTGTGATCAAAAGTATATTCTGTATTGCAATCCTTTGAAAATTGTTGAGTCTTAAATTATGGATCAGCATATGGTCAATACTGGTAAATATTATCTGTACTTTGAAAGGAATGTGTAGTCTGAAATTGCTTGATACAACATTCTGTATAATTAAGATAAGTTTGTCCATCGTGTTTTTGAAATTTTCCTATGTCATATATATTTTGTATATATATACATTTTCCCCAATATTTTGTATACTGTTTCCATCAGTTACTGAGAGACATGTGTTAAAATCTTTCACCATAATCTTGAGTTTTTCTGTTTCTCTTTTAGTTTTGTCATTTTTTGATTCATACATTTTGAGACTATATTATTAAACATGCAGGCAATTCTCACTTTGCATGATAATGTGGGATTATAAAATGACTCTGCCAGCTGAAACTATGCAAAGCAAACTTAATAATCAATGGGAAAAATTATAATTGTTTCATGACCTCCAAAATTTTTTGTTGCAACATTAACTGCTCTTTATTTTTAATTATACACATGTAGGGGAATGAAAAAAATACTAAAACTAATATTTATTTCACTATAATTTGAAACACTGGAAACATGGAGAATTAAAGC